ATTTGACAATTATAACAAAAAAAAAGAGTTAGACTTAAAAAAAAACCAAAATCCCTCAATCGAATGGCTATGATTTTATCGCATAAGAGGATCTTGGTTACTTTAAAAAAAAAATTTGGTTGGAAATTAACCCTTTATTAATTGGTATTAATTAAAAAAAAATCAAATGAGCAATACTTTGATATTTTTAACTACTAAGGGCATTTCCAATGGAACTCCAAAACACCAAATTTGGTGTTAAAACCTCTCCAATGGAACTCCAAAACACCAAATTTTTAGTTTTATGAATAGTGTTATACCATATTTGGTGTGACACTATTCATCACACTAAACATTAAAATATTACTTTTATTCAATAATATGATTAAATCAATGTTTATAAATTGATTAAATTGATGTTTATTAATTGATTAAATTTGTAAGAAAATAAAAATATCAAAAATATGTTTATATTTTTTTTTTAATAATATGAAATTTAAATGGGCACAAAATATCTAAATCAATATGCAATTTGACTAAGACTAAAAATATATATTAAAGTTCAATCTAAAACTGAAATTTATTTTTTACTAATTTTAGTTTATCGATTGTAATTTTATATTTAACATATGTATAGATTAGTTATAAGAATAATTAGTATTTATCAAAATTTAAAAAGATTTTAAAAAAWWTWWAWATWWWAWWATAWWAWWAWAAWATAMTTTTTTAATGTAATATTTGGTGTTGTGGTTGGAGATGAAATACACTATAACACTAAATTTGGTGCTATTTCAACACTAAAAATTTAGTGTTGTGGTTGGAATTGCTCTAAGCTATACATCTTGTATTCCAAGAGAGAGAAAATTGAAATCATTAACCAAATAGGCATCCATCACAATAAATTAGAAATCTGATTCTAGTTAAAATATAATACTGATCAATATTACTACAATTAAGTTGAACTAATATTTGGTTCATGATTATTTATTCTCTCTCCATTTTTGTGGGATTCCAACTAGTAGGTTTTTTTAAAAGCTTAAGGGGTAGAATTTTTAATGATTTTTAGAATTCTTAGATTCTATCATTATTGGTTTATAAATTCTAACAATCTTAATAAAGTTAAC